TGTATGACCTCACTTATACAAAAAGACAAGAAAAGGCAAATGTACATAGACCAAAGTTTATTAGTGGTTACCAGGGGTAGGAGGGAGAGGAAAGTGAGGGGTTAACGGTGATGGAAAAATCACATTAATTAAGGGTAGGCTTACATAGCTGAATACTGTAATTGCTGTCAATAAGTTGTACACCTGTAAAAAGTGAATTGGCAAAAGTTGTGCAATAGATATATTTACAACAACAACAAAAAAAAAGAGCAGCTGCTGAGGCTGCTTATGCAGAACTAAATACCTCATGGGACTTGGTTCCTTAGTTTGGAGGTTTAGAGTCATAGTTTCATGGGACATCCCAGTTAATTGGCCTAATAATATGTTTAGTGCTTCTGTTCTACCTTCTATTCTGTTACCTAGTGCCTGGGGTCTTAACAGCTTGCAAGCAGCCATCCAAGGCACAATAATTGGTCTCTATTCACCCGGAGCAATAGAGGAAGAAGGAGAATCAGGAAGAGGAGGAGGATATGGAAGGTGAGGCTAATTGCCTCCATGAACAACCGCCTCGTTTGCCATGACACCAGAACTGGATGGTGCCCAGCTACCATTACTGAACACTTTGATCAAAGAGTGCATAGAAGAATCTTGATCAAAAGAGGGTAAGTACAGAATTGAATTTCAAATTCTCACGGACTCTAGACTTTCTAGAGGTGTGGAGGGTGGATGAACCCCTGTAACTATTGTCCTGAGATAATCTTGAAACCTTAACCAAAAATATTCCCTGAAGTCATCTTAAAACTGAGCAATAGTTTAGTTTAACTAGTAAAAAAGGTCTGCCTTGAGCATTATGAGTCGGAATCAACGCGATGGCAATGGGTTTGGTTTTTCGGGTTGAGCATTACGCTCTATTAAGAACTATCAGTATGGGATCAAATTGACAACAGCAACTCGGAAGACGAGATAGGAACCTTAGGGGGCAGTGAGTTTATGTTAATGAGAACTGAGAAAAGGGTGAGCATGGCTGCACAACTCAAATGTAATCAATGTCACTAAACTGTACATGTAGAAACTGTTAATGTATTTTTACTATGCATATTCTCAACAACAACAAAATAAATAAAATTTAGAGGAAAAAAAAGTGGCTCAAAACATAATGATAAATCATTCTTTTCCCCATTCTGCCATTTAGCAGCTGGGTGACCTTTGGCTTGTGGCTTCATCTCTCTGGCCTCAGTGCCTTTCTGGATGGCTGAGAGGATTAACAGAAATACCATTTTCAAACGCCCCAACACAGCACCTGGCACATAGTACAGGCACTCAAAACATGTTAGCTGTGAGGATTATCGTTCATAAGGAGGCCTTAGAAAGACGAGGCTGAGGAACAGCCCAAGGCACCACCTGTTCTACCTGCTCAAATTGGGTCACGTCAAAGCTGTGTTACCCGGCCTCACTCTGACACCACCCATGTTGCTACCACTGGGTCTCAGGGCCATCTTGGTGGGGGGCTCCTCTGGGTTGAGGGGAATACGCTACTGGATATGACCCTATCCCAACTTGTCATGGTTTGAATTATGTCCCCCAAAAAATGTGTGTATCAATTTGGCTAGGCCATGATTCCTGGTACTGTGTGATTTTCCTGTATGTTGTAAACCTGCCTCTATGATGTTAATGACGGAGGATGGATGGCAGTTGTGTTAGTAGGGAAGGACCTGATCTACAAGACTGGATTGTGTCCTGAGGCAATCTCTTGAGATATAAAAGACAGAAGTGAGCAGAGAGACAGGGGGACCTCATACCGTCAAGAAAGCAGTGCCAGGAGCAGAGCGCGTCCTTTGGACTGGGGTCCCTGAGCCGAGAAGCTCCTAGTCTGGGGGAACACCGAAGAGAAGGCTGACAGAGAGGAAAAGACTTCCCCTGGAGCTGACACACTGAAATTGGACTTTTAGCCTACTTTGACTGTGAGGAAATAAAACCTCTCTTCATTAACACCATCCACTTGTAGCATTACTGTTATAGCAGTACTAGATGACTAAGACACAACTCAATAACAACAGGGCATTGGCTATTTAGAGAAACAGGCTGTAAAGCAGGGCTCCTAAGCTACAGGCCAGGGTGGGGTATGGGGAAAGGGAGGCAAGAACCCAGGAACCACCCTCTCCCAGACTCCAGGAAAAGCCAACCAGCTCAAAACTAGCTTCAGGTCCCAATGTCACTGTAGGGTCTCTCCAGTCACACCTGCCCAGCAGCAAACAGGTATCCAGCATCTACTAAGTGCCCAGCCTTGGGGGCCTCTTTTCTCCTCGGCTTCACTCAGGTTTCACCCAGCAGGAGGGCTGGGAGAGGCTATTTGGGTTCACCAGGGTTCGAGGAATCTGCGTCTCCTTGCCAAGAGGGAAGAAGGGGAGGCAAAGGTGAAATCCAAATGCTGTGGGCCAAGGCCTGGAACTTTCCAGACTTTCCCAGATGAAGGAACAAGTTTAAGGTGGATAGAGTCCTATAGGTAGGGAAACAGAGGCTCCAGGGCCTGGGAGGTCAGGCAAAAACATAGTCTGGAGCTTGATATCAACTTCTCGGTGGTAACCAAGACCCTGCTCCCCAGCACACATGCAGGCCCCCTGCAGAGTCTACCCGGTCACTCTAAGACACCGGAAGGGGTGGGGCCTGGGCCCTCTGCCCATAGTAACCACAACTGCTGTAGCACTTCGCCTGGGCCAGACATGGTATATACATAGGTATCACCCACTTTTCAAAAGTTTGCTTTATGCTACTTTGCTTTTACAGAAGACTTACATTAGTACCTGTTTTTGCTAACCAAAAGAAATCCAAAGAGGATTTTCGCTTTTACGAAAAAAGGTGAAAAGCGGAAATAGCGTTCAGCATTTGTCTTGCACCAGCACGTACCCAGAGCAGCGAGAGTGGAGTGCCAAGCTCGTTCCCCAGGAACTACACTCAACATCTCATCATCAAGCCGCCACAGCTTTGAAAGGTGTCTGTAAGCCAGTGTTTTGTCTTGATTTATTTACTGCATTCGTTAGCAAGATGTGTCCTAAGATATCAGAAAAGCCTAGGAGAGCTCGTACGGGTTTTATGCGTTATTTGGTATGATTTGGTGGGTTACTTTTTGGGTCTTGGGAATGTAAAAAATTTTTTCCCGTATAAATTAATGGTAATTGTTTCTTCACTTTACATCATTTCGGCTTACGAAAAATTTCACAGGAACGTGCTCTACTTTCTGATAGCAGAGGAAACCTGTATTATCCATTCCCCCATCACAACCCTAGGAGGGGTATGACTTCCCCACTTTACTGAAAAGGAGACTGAGGCTCAGAGGCAGAACAGGGTAGTGGTTAAAAGCACACCCTGAGTTTGAATCTGGGCTCCAACATACCAACTCAGGCAAATCACTCCCTCTCAGAGCCTCAGTGTCCATTTCTGTAAAATGAGGATAATAATCCTGCTCTCTCTGCTCCACGGCACAGTCAAGGGATTAAGCGAGAAGTGCTTGTAAAATGATGAGCCATAGCACCCATAAATGCTGCCTCTTAGAATCAGAGAGACTAGGTAACTTGCCCAAGGTGATGCAGCCAGTGAATGACAGGTTCTAGGCCCTAGCTCTGGACACAGCCCTCTCCCAGAAACCTTGGGCCCCTAGTGTGGGTGGCCGCAGATAGTAGGCTTCCCAGGCAACTGAGGATGGTCCCTACCCCGGCTGAGAAGGACAGCCTGTCCGAATTCCTCAGATAAGCGGCTCCCAGCAGAGCGGGGAGCCTCCAGGCCTCAGCAGCGGCCAGAGCACACAGAAAAGGCATCCCACCCTGTCTACACAGAGATTCCTAAACTTGGAGCAGGCTGCACGCTCCTCTCCCTACCTCCAGCAGTGCATTCAACTTCCGGATGCATCCAACAGGTCCCCAAACAGGCCAAGTTAGGTTGTCAGTTGCCACCTGCAAGGTCCCTGGCAAGTCACTTCTTCCCCTCTCTGGGTCTCGGCCTCCAGATCTACAGCATGCACCCTCATCCTTGAACAGTGAGGCAGCTCTGACTAACTGCACCCACAAGGAAGCCTGAAGGAGCAAAGGGACACACCAGGAAAGAGAACCAGCATTTCCAGGCATTAGGCCAGGCCCTGCATTGCATTCTCTTTCACTGAAACTTCACAGCTCTCTGAGAAGGGACTTGTATCAGACCCATTTTCCAGAAGAGGAAACTGAGGTCCAGAGAGTGATAGAGCCAGGATTTGAACTCCCCTGAGCAGGCCAGAGCTGGGTAACCCTGGATGGGTAGGGGGGCGGGGGGTCCAGCCAGCCTGGCATAGTCCGGGAACTCTGTCACCTTCAGCAATAATCTGGGCAGCTGGACCTGCCAAGATGGGGAGGAACACAAAACTCCACTCAAAAGAACCTCCTTCAGAGCAGACACCAGCCTCCTCTACAAGGGCATTTGCAATGCAAAGCGGCCCAGCTCTAGCCAGAAGGGGACAGTCACTCAGTGGGGACTGGGAGGGCCAAAATCCAGCCACCTCCCTCCAGCCGCCCAGGGCCTTCCTAGACACTGGGGAGTGCCAGGGAACCTGTGGCTGGCAAGGCTCTAAATCATACGACAGTTCAAGTGGCCAGCTGGAGTGCAAGGGCAGGGGTGAAGGGGGTTCCAGGTGGCATCTCTCCCTTACCATCCCCTGAAAGCACAAACTCCACTGGGCTCATCCGGCAAGTCTGCAGAATAGGCCTACTGAGGGCTGCATGCAGGGCCCCAAGTAGGGGCTAAAAGAATAGACCCCCAGATATCTGGCTGATCACCTGCCGCCCGGCACCCTGCCAACTTCCTCAGGCCCAAGACTTCCAATCGGCCAGTCCAGCCTTGTGCAACTCCGCCAACGCACACACACACAATCCGCAAGACTCTCCCTGGCCCCCAATGAGACCCTTTCACTCTTGCCAACTGGATGTGTTTTGCTCATCACTTCCCTCCCCTGCAGGCACCAGGCTTCCACAAGGGCCCCAGCCGCCCCCAGCTCCTACCTTGACGACAAGCTGACAAAATCCCCGCCATCCAGCAGCCGGACCTTGCAGAAGAGGACCCCGTTCACGAAGGGGACCGCAGTCAGCTCTTCCAGAGTAAAAGTGGTTTGGAATTTGAATTTCTTCTTCTTCATCAAGAAAGCCATGGACGAGTTCCCTGAGTCTGAAGCCCCGAAGGCCAAGAAAAAAAGGTGGGGTAGAAATCCCCAGGATTCCTTTCCCTACACCACACCCCCTCCTCAAAACACTAGAGCCGGATCCCGCCCAGAAGGTGGCGGAGACGGCAGAATGGGCGGACGTTCTGAGTGTCCAGTCCAGTTCGCAGGTCGGGTGGCTTCACCCTCGGTGGGCCGGAGCTCGGAGCGGATCGGAGCGGCCGGAGGCTTCACCGGCATGTAAACAGCGGGGCATGGCCCAGGAGGCAAGGGCAGGGGTGGCGGGCGGTGCGCGAGCGGCCGCGCTGGCGGACAGCATCCCGAGCCGCGGTCCCCGGGGAGCTCACGCCGCGCGACCAGGCGCGGCGGGCGGACCGGTGAGACTGAAAGCGGCTGGGAGACCGGTGAGGCTGAGGGCGGAGGGAGGCCCCGCCCCCGCCTCGCTGGCGGCCGGGGGAGGCACCTTCGCCGCACACACGCCCCCGCACCTGGATGGCAGGCGGCCTGCGCAGGTGAGTCCAGGGGGAAGCTCAAGGCACCCCCAGGGGGCGGCTGGGAGCTCTGGGGGGAGCCTCTCCGGGAGACACGTCGGGGGCGCTCCGGACAGGGGTCTCGGGTTCGGCGTCCGTGCTCAGGCCAGGAACGTCCGGCCGTCAGCCTCCTCCGGGCGGGCACCGGGCCCGGCCCGGAGCAGCGGGGACGCCGCCTCCTCCTCGGTCCTGGATCCCGCTCCGCGGGCCCTGGCGGAGCTGAGAGACCCCTCCGGCCCGGCCGGTGGCGCCCCCCTCACCCGCCGCCTCTGCCTAGCACCCCGTGAGCAGCAGCGCTGCCGCCTGCGCTCCGGACGTCGCCGCCGCCGCCGCCTGCCCGAGCCCGACGCTGCGCTGCGCCGCGGCGAGAATGCCGAGGCCCTGCGCGGCCGCCTGCGGAGCCGCCGCTTAGCGCGAGAGGGGCGGAGCGCCGGCGGCTCAGCCTGCCCGCGATTGGGCGGCCCGGAGGGGCGGGGGCGGAGCAGCGTCCCTGCCCCCGATTGGTGGATGGCGGTGTGAGGCGGGACTCGCGGGAGACAGAGGTGGCCGAGGGCCTTCGGATTGGTGTGCTGCACAGCTGGGTTTGCCTCCTCGGTTAGGGCGAAGCGGAGGGAAAAGGAGAGGGGCCCCGGAAAGGCAGTGGGAGGTCGCGGGGTGGGGAGCCAGGGCTTCCTAGGCGGGGAGGAGAGCGCGAGAAGAAGAAAAGAAGAAACAATGAGGAGGAGAAACCATGTGAAAACTGTCGCTGGAACGGCCTTCCAGTATTCCTGCAGACTTGAGCTCGTTAAACACCAAATCAGGCCTGGGAGGTAGCCGCATTTCTCAGAAAACTGACACGCAGACAGTTCACCTGGACTAGATCCTAGTCTTTCGTCCCCAAATCTCAACTTCTCAGCATTGAGAAGTGTCTGAAAAGGCTTCACCGAGGAGGTGATGCAGCCTCGTGACCCAGCTTCTTTCCTCCCAAGCTGTTATCGAAGCCATTTGTTGTCGTTTAGTTTCTTGCCTAGTTATGGCTGGTCCCCCAACTGGATTAACTAGTTGCTCTGGAGACAGGGACTGCTTCCAGAGCCTCGTACCTCCTGACACAAAGAAGACCCTGGACATAATTGTAATTCACTCATGCAGTCCCCAGATGTTTAGCGGGTAATCTGCTCTGAGCCAGGCTCTGGGACTTAGCATGAGCCCCATGGGCCTGCCCTCTCCAGGCTCAGGACCAGGTAGAGAAGCAGACAGGGACACAGGCAGTGGTAAATCTGATGGATAAGAGCTGTAATACTGGACATGCAAGAGTCTAGGAAGTTGTACCTAGGGTTGCTATGAGTCGGAACCCACTCGAAGGCACCTAACAACAACAGGGGAGCTCCAAGGAGGGACCGAGGGGGGAGACAGGGTGCTCAGAGAGAAGGCTTCTTACATAAAGCGATGCAAGCCACCTGCAGGATGCATGTAGGATCCAGGCAGTGAGCTGCATATGCAGAGGTCTGGCAGCCAGAGAGAACACAGTGTCTACAGAAAATTCCAAGTACCAGATGACTGCATTGTGATTTGAGAGACAGGCAAGATATGAGACTAGAAAGGGTGGCAGCGGCCATATCTCACAGAGCCTTGTAGACCAGAGTAAAGAGTTTTAATTTTCCCAAGGGCACAGGGGAGCCACCGACAGGTTTTAAGCAGGTCAGTAACATGTCAGATTTGCTTTTCATTGTAAGAAGCTTGCTCTGGCTATAGGTAATGTGGAGGGGTGATGGGAAACAGATACAGGAGTGAGGGACTATTTATGGCGATCCAGGCAAGAGATGATGATAGAACTTCAGCACTGGGGGGAAAACAAGAGGATGGGTCTGAGAAGCATTTAGGAGGCAGATCAGATTGAATTTAGGGATGAGTTGAGTCTGGAGATGTAATCAAGAACTGAGGTTTCTAATTTTTTTCCACATCCCTCTTTCAGTTTTCCTAGCCATAAAATGATTGGTGATCCATGCTTCTCTCCAGTTTGTCCCATCGTTTAGAAAACACAGCCAAATGGGAGAAAAATGATAATAGCTGCTCCCAGTGCTATTCTTTATTCCCACTTACAGACAGGGAAATTGATGCCTGGAGAGTTTAAATCACTTCACTAAGGTCTTGACCCTGGAGTGCAGTTTCTAGAGTGCTAAGCTGTGTGCCCACACTTTCGCTAACCTTTGCTGAGCCTGCTCCATGGGGGAAGAGTCTGTAGCTATCTCACCCCAGGAGAAGATTTCAGAGGAAGGAACCAGCCAAGGATGTCCTGAGGCTTGACTGACTCCTGGGCTGTGACCATGAATAACCTCAGGCCACCCCAACAGGAAGCAGAGTGGGCCTGACTACCAGACTTAGCACGGGTGGGGCATTTATCTCCCTGCAGACCATGGGCTGGGAACCCAGGAAGTTTCCCTTCCCTTCGCTTCTCAGAGAGGGAGAAGTGGTACCAGGCCAAGACACTGGATTTGGGGTGAGACAGGCCTGAGTTAGAATTCTAGCTCTGTTGTGTATGGGCCATGTAGCCTTGGTTTGGGACACTGAGGCTTGGAGAAGAGTCATTGTGGTATGGTTGGGACTACTTGCCCTGGAGCCAGTAGAACGGGGTTCAAAGTCCAGCTGACATACCACTGACATGCCTATGTCACACAAAATTTTTCCCTCTCTAAACCATAGTTTCTTCCTCTGTAAAATGAGAATAACAATACTAATCTTTCTAGAGTGTTTGGAGGACTTCAAGAGGCTGTGCCCATGAAAATCTCAGGCCTGGAAGGACACAGAGATCTAAGCTAGTGGTGAGCAGGAAGCTCCAGCCCAGCACTTCCACTTCCCCCAGCTGCCCAAAATTCCCAAGCCTGGCCTGTCCTACCGTCCTAAGACCCTAGACAGACATAAGGAAACCAGTACTGAACAAGATAATCTCAGACAAGTGGTCTGGAGAAGGAAACCCAGGGAAATGTGAGAGAGAATGATTGGGGCAGGGCTCCCAATTTAGATAGAGTGGTCAAGAGAGGCCTCTGTGAGGTATCATCTCAGCCAAGACCAGGGGACCAGGCCCAGGAAGCTCTGGTGGAAGAGGAACAAACTGGCATGTTTGGGGGACTCTGTGTGACTGAAATGGAATGAGTGGGAGGGGGTAGAAAGGGATGGGACAAGCAGACGCCTGCTTACATGGGCCTTTGTGGGCCTGGGAGAAGTTTAGATTTTTATTCTAAGTCCAAAGGGAGGTCATTGGAGGATGTAAGCAGGGGAGTGACAGGTCCAAAATATGTTTTTTAGAAGTTCCCTCTGGCTGCTGTGCAGAGAATGGATTGATTATCAAGGGGAGAGAACAGAAGGAGGCAGACAGGTAAGGAGGCTGTTACAGCCATCCCAGCAGGAGACTCTGGTGGCTCAGACCACGGTGGAGACAGAGCAATATGGAGAGAAGAGGGACACATTTCAGAGGAAGAGCTGAGCACTTGTTGAGCGATGGTAATAGTTACTCAAAGTCACAGTCAAGGTCAAGGCTAAAGGAACCCAGCATGGACATAGAGCCTTTTGAGTATAAATAACTTCCTTGTGCTTTAAATTAAATTGAATGCCACCAGGCTCTTGAAGTTGGGAGCTAAGTGAGCATAAGCACTGAGTTAGATGTTGGAAAAGTGTTGAGGGGGAACAACAGAATCAGTGGTAGATAAAGTAGGAGGGCCTTAGAGAATCCTTACCTTTATCTGGCCCTGGACACTCTCCTGGTGCTGTTTACTTATCTCTCTCCCATTACAACATGAGCTTCACAGGGTCAGACACCTCATCCATGGTGTCCCCATGTCTAGTTCAGAGCCTGCCACGATTATTGTGGTTAGTTGTCATCAAGTTGTCTCTGACTCGTGATGGCCTTATCTGTATGTTATGGATTGAATTGTGTCTGCCAAAAATATGTGGTGGTGCAGTGGTTAAGCACTCGCTGCTAACCAAAAGGCCGGCAGTTCGAACCTACCAGCCACTCCGTGGGAGAAAGATGTAACAGTCTGCTTCCGTAAAGATTTACAGCCTTGGAAACTATAAGCTATGGGGCAGTTCTACTCTGTCCTATAGAGTCGCTATGAGTTATAATTTGACTTGACAGCAATGGTTTTTCTTTATGCTTGTGGATGTAATCCCATTTGGGAATAGGGTTTTCTTTATTATGTTAATGAACCACATTAGTATAGGATACCTCTTAGGCGAATCACCTTCAAGATATAAAAGGAGCAGATTTTAGCAAGCAGAGATGGGGGAAGATAGATGCCAGGCCACGTGAAGATCACCAAGGAACTGAGGAAAAGAAGCTGAAAAGAGTCAAGGACCTTCCCCCAGAGCCAACACGAGAAAGCCTCTCCTAGAGCTGCCACCCTGAATTTGGACTTCTAGTCTCCTAAACTATGAGAAAATAAATTTCTGTTTGTTAAAGCCACCCACTTGTGGTATTTCTGTTATAGCAGCACTAGATAACTAAGACAACAGAACAAAGCGTTGCCCAGTCCTGTACCATCTTCATGATCTTTGATATGTTTAAGTCAATTGTTGTGGCTTGTGGTACAGTGAATTACTTAATATGCCCTTCTAGCCATAGTCTTTGTATCTCCCACCAAATGATGGGTGAGACTATGCAAATGAGGTGCTTGTGGCCCACCAAGGGGGACTGGATAGCTTGGTAATAATGCAAATAAGGTGCATGACACCCTTGTGGGGGTGGGACCATGCAAATAAAGTGTATGGAACCCTAACAAGGGCATTGGTCAGTTTTACCATCCTGCTAGGCTTAAACGAGCCATCCTAGAGGTGGGAAGGGAGGATCTCAACACCACCAAGAAAGAAGATCCAGGAGTGGAGTGCATCATTTGGACCTGGGATCCCTGCTCCGAGAACCTCCT